ATTATATTTGCTGCTAAAAATAGAAACATCGTAAGCATCACTTATTATTACTTAATGCAAAAAATCTTGTAAGAATACATAAATTTATAGCCCATCCCTAATAATGAATAATCTATCTAGAAAATCTACCCATTCTGCCATTACTATCTAGAATCCCAGAAACGCCCTTAAGGACAGAAATACCAATAATCCATTATTGACAGAATCACCATTAATCCCAGAATCGCCGTTTCTGTCATTTCTGTCATTTCTGGCAGAAATAGATTTTCCGGGATTTCTGGCCGGGAAACCCGACTTTGGAAATAACCGAGGTCACGAGGCACGTGCCTGCCGTCAGGTCACGTTTCCGGTCTCACAACGGGAATAAATGCATGAATATGCAAATCTGGTCACACATGTGAACAGATTTCTTATGACGTAATTTTGGTATCACTTTGTCCTCCGCTTTGCTCCGGATACGTAATTATACATACGTATATATAAATACTGTACAAGTAACAATAACGAAGTTACTGCTATACTGTAATTCTTTTTCGTCAATACAACATAAAAGTATTAAATCATGGCATCGAAAATATTTATGGGAGATATGCCCGAATTAATGGAAATTATTCTTAATAATTTAACACTTGAATATTATTCTTTATACTCATGCGCACTTGTGAGTCGACATTGGTGCAAGATGTCAATTCCTATTCTTTGGCAAGATCCTTTTTCAGGCGAACGAAGGCCTCTATACATTTCTAAATACTTTTCGTCTCTTACCGAAGACGAAAAATTAGGTTTAAAAGAATGTGGGATAGATTTAGAAATTTCCAAAACACTATTCCATTATGCAAGATTTTTAAAATTTCTTAAACTACCTCGTTTAGAAATTAATGTTAGAAAATGGATTAATATTATGGTTGTTAATTCAAAACCATATCCTGACCGCTCAACAATAAATAGCATAGTTAATTTATTATTAAAATTATTTATTGAAAGTGATGCTACTTTACATGAATTAGATTTATATTATCATTCTATATTTTTTGATTTTAGGCCAGAGATCTATTACTCATTAGAACAAAATGATTATTTTTTTTCACGACTCCAACATTTATCTTTATCTTTGGAAGTATTATCAGAATTTAACAACATTGAAGGTGCTACTACATTATTAAGTAACTTGGCGAAAAATGCTACAAAAATTGGCTCTTTGAAACTTTACCTTTTTTCTGATTATGAATCAAAATTACTTCATGCTGTTAAATTCATTATTAAATCACAAGAGCAACTTAAGCAGTTTACATTAGTCGGTGGAGATTTTCCTACAAAAAAATTTCACGGCATTATTTCAGCTTTAGAGTGTCAAAATAAATCTTTACAAGAAGTTATAATAGATAACTGTGATGGCTACTCAGAGTTTAATAAGGCGCTAATGAATTGTAAAAATTTAGAAGTTCTTCGTATCAACAATTGTTATAATATGGAAGTATTAGAAGCAAGCATTAACACTTTAGAAATTACCGAATACAAGATTTGTGCATCTGACATAACCCAAATTTTAGAAAAGTCTGGCTTATTATTACAACGATTAAAACTTGAATCAACAGATGATGTAACTGAGGAAATGCCATTATTACTTGAAACTCTTAAATCATACTGTCCAAATATTACATATCTCAACATTGAAGATGTTGAAATTTCCTCTCTATTCCTAGATCTTATTGGTAATTTACAAAAACTTCAATTTCTCACGTTATCATACATTGTTGACATACATGATTATGATGAACAGAAAAAACGAGTTGTTCAGTTTGCAGAGAGATTGCCATTAACATTGCAATATCTTGACTTAATGTTTTCTCTTTTAGATTCTTATATTGATATTTTGCTCAAAAATTGCAATGCACCCTTAAAAAATCTAATAATTAATCGCTTAGATGATGAGGAAAAAGCTAAAGCGTTAATCAATTTCTGCAAACGAAATAAATCCTTGAATTATGTGGGTGTAAAAGGATATTTAGATTTGGATGATAATATTAAAAAAGATGTGGATGTATATATTACATTGGTACCATATGAACGCATTGTTATTAATTGTTAAATTCCTTCATAGACAAAATTTATTTTTATCTAATTTTAAGGCATGTTAGTATCATTTATTAATTTTAGAATTCGTGATAATTTTAATACACACAAATAAAATAGTTCTTCAATAAATTTTGTAATATGATGGTTAAAATTTTCGGCGTTTATTAATTTTCTAAAAATTTATTGGTTACCATTTTAATAAATGAAAATCCAAGCTCTGTAATAGTATTATACGGTCAGACCTCTCTAAATGCAACCCTCTAAACGCAATACCTCCCCAAATGCAACTTTTAGCTCTGGTTCAAATACATATACATTAGTCCTCGTAAATGCAATTTTCTTCATTGTTTTTTTAAATATAAGTTGATAAAAAGTCTGGACATTACAAGTTGCATTCACAAATGCCGTTTGAAAAAAAATGGTAGAATTAAAAAATGTTGGTCCATTATTATAATGTCGAGTATAAATAATTATCGTAATTCCTTTTTTTTTTAATTCATTTATTTATTTCGTTTGTTTCTCGAATTCTGCAAATTCGGATCACAATAAAAAGCGGACAATAAAAATATAATATTTAACTGCGAACTTTGAAATTTTGCAAATTCTGCAAATTTGGTAAATGTATCGTAGAATTTGTAGAATTACAGAGTTTTGAACAGGAACAGATGTATATGTCATTAAGGTATCTGAATGTTCTAAAGAAATTATTTATATAAAATAAGCTATAATATACACTGGCGATTATAAATAATGCAAAAAAAAAATTAGTTAGATCAAATTATCTCATGCATTTTTAGGTGTATCTGCTAATTTTTTATTTTATTTGCAAATAGCATATTTTCAGCAATTAAAAGTTAAAAAAAATAAATAATCAAAATTTTTCACAGGCATGAGCTTTATTTTAAATGTCAAGTTGCATTATTTTTGCTCGTTTTTACAGCAACATGACCATAAAACTAAAAAAAAAAAAATTTTTCATAAAAATAAAAGTTTTTTTTCATTTAATAATTTTTGGCTTTCATCTGATATAGCCAATCCAAGCCCTGATTACATCACAGATTCATTCTGGCATTGAACAAATCAACCTCATGCAAGTTTTAATGTCAATTGCCAGCCAGACCACTTGAATTTTTTTCATAGGTCCTTCTTACTTGAAATTTGACAGGAAGATCCCTAAGGCAATGGTCAACTTTATCACACAAGTATTCAATTGGGTTTATATTGAGTAATTGGGGCCAGTCAAAAAACTTTATCTTGTTTTTTTAAAGCCAATATTTAGTCAAGATTGCCATATAACAAAATGCTCTGTCTTGTTAAAAAACAATTTCCCTGATTTCAAATCTATGATTCTGATCATTTATATTAAATCTTCATAGCGTATTTGAGAATACAACTTACTATCTATTGAACTATCAGTTTTACAGTAGCTGCTGCCATGAGAAGAAAAGCACCCAAATTATAACTAAACCACTTTTGAATTTTATAGTGGGCTTAATATAATACTGATTTAACAGTTCTCTATGACACTTCAGTAATATTGCTTGTTATTCAACCAAAAACTTGATATCATAACTCATTCAACCAAATTACCTTTGACCAGTTTTATACTTGCAAAGCTAATAAAGAAAACTCATATATAATTCTTACTATCAATACTATATATGCCAAATTTACAAACCAACATACCTACCAAAATATTTACCAACACTTCTACAAATACTCTCTTACTTTTTATTCTGATTCTGCCTCAACTTCTTCTTTATTTAATCAACTCTCTCCATTACTCATTCTATACTAGACTTTACAACTTTCACCAAGGATAAAGCATATTTTGCAACCTTTTTCAAGTCTTTCCTATTCAAACTTTTTTAACTTAGCAAATAAAGCTAAAATTTTTATACTAAATATAAGATTTATAATACAAAAATTGATTTTCTGAAGATCTTTTGTTTTGTCGATTTCATTTCTTTTTCTAGCACCTAGCCCATATATATATATATTAATAATATAAATTTTGAGTAATGTATTACTACTTTTTTTTATATTATATATATCCTTTATACTATGCTTTTCTTTTACCTTATACTTTACCTTATGCTTTACCTTACTCTTTACTTTACACTTTACCTTATGCTTTACTTCCTGTTGTCTACTCTTTCTTTACTCTATTTTGCACTCTTCTTGTTGTTGAGCATTCTTCTTGCTTTCTACACTCTTTTTTATCCTGCTTCTATGCTCTTCTTTTTGTCTGCATTCTTTGTTATCTGAAATCTAAACTGTATATAGTATGTACCTAAACTTTTAGCTGTATGAATACTAGTGCTTAAACTCTAAACTTTGAAATTCGCTAAATGTTTTCTTTCTATGCTCTTTTTCCTCTTCTATATTCTTCATAATCTAGACATCTTAACTGTATAGTATGTATCTAAACTTTTAACTATATGAATACTAGTGCTTAAACTTTAAACTTTGAAATTTACTAAATGTTTGCTTTCTACGCTCTTTTTTCTCTTCTATATTCTTCATGATCTATATATCTTAACTGTGTATGGTATATATCTAAACTTCTAGCCATATGAATACTAGTGCTTAAACTCTAAACTTTGAAATTCACTAAATATTTGCTTTCTATGATCTTTTTTCTCTTCTGCATTCTTTGTGATCTAGAAATCTGAACTTTGTATGGTATATATCTAAACTTCTAGCCATGTGAATACTAGTGCTTGAACTCTAAACTTTGAACACCACTAAATGCTTAACTTTAAACTTTAACTTTTAGATCTTTTTATATTAGTACCAAGCTTTCTAAACAATTAAGTAGGAAAGTAAAAATAAATTTTTATACTATACTAGTTTACCTTACAGAATCTACATTTATAATAAGTAAGTAGAACTTATATATGCTATGAATGGGTGAAACCTATATGGTACAACTAAGCAAAGCTTACATGCGGCAACCAAGTAAAACATATATGCAAGAACTAGTTGAAACTTACATGCAACAACCAGATAAAACTTATATACAACAACTAGATGCAAATTATATACAACAAGTAGATGAAACTTATATGCAGCAACCGGGTGGTGAAGCATACGTACAACAAAGTGGGCAACGAAGCTTATGTGCAACAAGTAGGCTATGAAGCTTATATACAACAAGTGGATAACAAAGCTTATATACAACAAGTGGACGATGAAGTTTATATGCAACATCTTTTTCAACCAACTGATAAATTTTTTTAAGAACAACTTATGAATAATGAAAATAATGTAACTATAATCTTTAGAATCTTCTTTCTAGTATATATTGTTTTTAACTAATCATCGATTATACTTTTGTTTGTTATTCTTAGCCTTTCAGATGAATATAGCTTAAATGATATTGGACAATTGTCTAATAATTCTGATGAAATTGAACAATTGTCTAATAATTCTAATAGAAGATAACAATTTATCTAATAATTTGGAGTTAATAGTTGATTGCACTTATTTAAACTAGGTTGAGTTTGAACATTGGTTTAAAATATTTGCATTAAATAAAGAGTTTAGTTACAAGATAGAAATAGTGAAAAAGAAAATAGTATTACACATTGTATTACTTATGAATGTATAAAATCTGGAAAGCTTGTTTCCAAAGTACTATCTGATCCAACCAAAAGACATAATACATAATCTCAAAAAACACAGTGCCCCTGGAGACTCAATATTACATATTCTAAAATACTTGGTTTGGTTAAAATTAGTTTATTTAATGATAAACATAACTATCTTCTTACTACAATGACATGTAAAATAGCACCTTAATTTCGTAAATTGACTGCAAGTATGATAGTGGACATTAAAAAATATATAATTTAGGAACGTTTAAATCTGGGTCAATTTACCCTTTACTAAAGCATGATTACCCTAAACACTACATATATAAAAAGGCTTTATATAATGCAGTATATCAAATTCATTGTAAAAACAATTCTAGTGACTTAGATGCCTCAAAAATGCTTCATACCTTATTAGATTGAAAAGAGTTAGACTCTCTTTGGATTGTTAAGTCTCAATTAGAACCTGTATCAAGAAAATTTTTTTCTCTTTTATAAATGTCTCCCACCCAAAGAGAATTATATAAGAACTTTTCTGATATTGTAATATTGGATACAACTTCTAATACTAACTGATTCTAAATAGTGTTTTTGTTATGGCTGTTATTAACAATCATTTTAAAACTAAAATTGTTGCTTCAGCGGTTATTGATGAAGAGATATTGGATATGTTTTTGTGGATATTTAATACGATATTTGATGAAACAGGTATTACATCTAGGGCAATATTTATCGACTCTGATCTAGCACTAATTAGTGCAATTAAAGAAGTATATCCAAGCACAAATCATTTACTGTATATTTTTTCATATTGATTTAAATATTTATAAGAAACTCAAAAACAAATTAGATGCTCAGTTTAATGAATTTTATAACAAATTTTATATTTGTCAAAATTCTTTGTATGAAGATTTATTCAAGATTAGATGAAACCATTTGATTATTGAATATCTCAAAATAAGTAACTATATATTAGATATATTATATGTTAATAAAGTATCATAGCAATTCTATGGATAAAGAATCAATTCATAGCTGGAGTACAAAGTACCCAACAAATTGAGTCTGTTAATAAGAATATACATAGTAAAGTAGATCGTGCTACTTCTTTATGTAATTTATTAACCAGCATTAATGAATCTGTTAAAGGTAAAGAATATTATGAAAGTTTTGAAGTTGAATGTACCGTAAACTGCAATATACAAGACCCAGCATGATGCAATTTTTTACAATTAAAAATTTTTTAAATCACGTGTATTATGTATCATGTGATACATAAATAATATTTTAAAAATATATCTATATTATTTGTCACACTGAGTCTTGTATATGGCAGTTTACGGTAAGCTATACCTGTTAGTAGGTTACCAAATTTTAGCATTAGATTTTTTAAACGGGTAGATAATATATTAAAAAAGTATTTAATATCTGTTATGCTTAGGAAGCAATGAACCAATCGATGTGCTATGATGTTATTCAGGTTGAAAAATGGCAAAGATTAATCGAGATATGAAAAAAACAGAATAGTCTATTTTTATTGTTAGTAGTACGTTATTTAACATAGATAATTTTAGATAGATATAGATAATAAGAAGTTTGATAATGGGCTTTGAGAACAAGAAAATAATACATGCTTAATTCTTTTTAGATCATTGATTAATTGATGATTCTCCAGTCAACTGAAGCATGGTCTTAGTAAAATGTAACTCTGATTACTATATAAATTTATTATGGTGCGAATGTGGTGTTAACACAAGATAAACTTTTTTTTATACTAAGTTAATCATTTTCTTGCTTAAGAAACTTTTGTAAAGCTTGTCAAGATGCATCTAATGGTGGTTAGAGCGTCAAAATCAGCCTGGTAAGTACTGAGATATCTTTAAAAAACCTCTTTTTTACTATATAAACTTTTTTGCAAACACTAGTTATTGTTTGCAAAAAAATTCAAAAAAATTTACATAGTAAAAGAGAGGTTTTTTAAAGATATCTCAGTACTCACCAGGCTGATTTTGACACTCTAGTCACCATTAGATGCGTCTTGACAAGCTTTACAAAAGTCTTTTAAGCAAGAAAGGTGATTAACTTAGTATGAAAAAAAGTTTACCTTGCACGAATGCCATATTCGCACCATAGTAAATTTATATAGTAATCGGAATCACATTTTACTAAGATCATGCTTCAGTTGACTGGAGAATCATCAATTAAAAAAGTATCATATAAAATAATTAGAGAAGTATGGTATGTACATCCTACTGGAATATCAAGTGTTGGACACTATGTAGTATTACTTAACAAATATACACATTTGCATACTTTTAGTTAATAAAAGTTTATTATACTGTCATTTCTTTCATGTTGGTACCTATTCTCAGTATACTATATTTTATATGGCTTTTATTCTATTATGATGGTATTTGGATTATAATATTACTCAAGAAATACTTTTTTAACAAAATTCGCCAATTCCATTATGTGAAACAATACAACAAAATACTTATCTTAGAACAAGGTCTATTACATTTCAGCATTTTCTTTCAAATCAGTCTGCATCGTTTACTTTTTAGCCAACAACAAGATCTGTATATGCAAAACTTTTTGGATTATCAAAGAAAGCTATTAATAATGCTATCAAGACTGAATCATATTATGAGTTAATGTATATGTTTAAAGTGTTTGTTTATGATATTCAAAATAAAAATAATGATAATCAACAAGGTGAAAATATCGTTATGGATCTCACGATTTCTAAATATAGAGATCAACCTCCAAACAGGTTAAAAAGTAGTGTTGAACTAAACTATAATAGTGGCAAAGGTAAACAAGTATTAAAAGATAGTATACAGACTAATATATTGAATAACATAGATAACAATTATGATAGAGAAAATGATGCAGATTATATAACAGATAGAAAATGTGGAAAATATAGAAAACCTGAACATTATGCAAAGACTTGTCCAAATAATTAGTAATTTTTAGTTATAGTTAAAGTAGTTTGAGTATTATCAATTAGTTAAAGCAGTTTGAGTATTATTAATTAGTTAAAGTAGTTTGAGCATTATTAATTGATAATAATTTTTTTTTTGTGGTGTTTATATATTTAACTATGATTGAACTATTCTATATACGTTTTCTATATTATGCTTAAAAATAGTATTTGTTGAAATTGCAAACTTTAAATACCTGTATATATGTCAAGCAGGTTTAGTTTTAAGCATGATATTTTAATTATTTTTACTTAGAGTTTAGAACTAGTTTTATTTTTCATATACTAAACCCAATTAAAACTAGGTTTAATATGTGAAAAATAAAATCTAATCTAAACTTTATATCTACTTATCATTATGGTTTTTAAATTCATACTTAGAAGTTATCAAATTAAAATCTATAACTATAAACACGATAGAATTTTTAGCTTTAATTTGGCAATACTAATCTATATATTTAAGAATCTAACTATATTATGTTTATACAGTCTTAATTTTAATGCAGGTTGAAAAGATATATGAATATTAAGTATAGCCAGTAATACTTTAATTTAGAGTTAGCTTTAAAAATTAGATACAATATTACTATCTTAGTATTATCGCCAAAAAATTTACTTCGAACAACCAGTAACAGAATCTTTAAATAGATAAGTGTTTAAGTTAGTATTAGAGTTTAGATAGTTATATATTATAGCAAAATCGCACTTTTGTTATTATGAGATTTGTATTATATTTAGTGCCAGTGTGACAAATAATGTAGATCAGTTTTTTAAAATATTATTTATGTGTCAGTGATATTAATTATTATATAATACATGTGATTTTTAACTTTGTTAATCACTATATATTGTTAGACAATATATAGTGGTTGTGTTATGTTATACTAATAAATTAAATATAAATTATATAAGCTCTGATAAATATTACTAAATAAGTCATTTTGTGATATGTGTTTGAACAAATATATATACTCCGGTAATGTTACTAAATATGATATCACATGATACATGTTTGAACACACTGTGTATAAATAGAAAAACTCTATAATAAATTTATTTAGTTTTTAAGTTTGATACTATTTATTAATTTGGAATATTTATTTGAGTTTGGGTTTAGATCAAAATTATATAGAAATTCCAAATTTCAAACCCAAACTAAGTAGAAATGCTGTAACTAAAAAAAAGAGTTTGAGTAGAATGACTATTTCCAATAAAAAAATATTAGTACTAATAGATTTTTCGCTACCATATTTTCATGTAATAATATACATGTGCGTTATTTTGAAATTGCTACTTTTTTTAAAACCACCTATTTGACTCAAAATAATGCATATGTGCGTCCTGAAATAATGCACTCCCTCCTCTAAGAGTTTCACTATAAATATAATTATAGTCACATATTTATTAAATTTTGGCAATATTAATCTGAATATCGCACATGTGTGTCTCAAAATAATGCACAAGTATGTGTTATTACATGAAAATATGGTATATTTCTTTTTACATGTCAAAATAAATAAATTGATAATTATACTCTTTATTTTATAATTATATTCTTTGTTTATATTGTTAGTTTTCAAAAAATATTTATCAATAATCAATACTTTTATTTCAACACATTTTTAGTGATTAGAAAGTTACTAGCACTCTGACAGGCCTTTATTTGCTTAATACACTTATTTATAGTAAACAATGTTAATTACTCCAAATATTATCATTATGAATATTAATGTTGTTGAATTAAATTTAATTGAATATCTACAATATTTTTATAATTATATTACTTATAACACTTAATGTTATCTTTAATTACGTTCTTTATTTGTTTATGATACTTAAATGTCATAGTTTATTTAAAATTTTAA